GCGCAAGTGACGGTGCTACCCTCAGACACACCCACACCCACCAACATTCAAGCGCGCACACAAACAAACAAAACAAAACAAACAAACATGCAAACAAACAAACAAACAAACAAAACAAACAAACAAGCAAACAAAAGCAAACAAAAACAAAACACACACAAACACACACACACACACCCACCCCACCCACACACACACACACACACACACACCCACCCACACAGACCCACCCACCCACAGCACTCCTTTGGAGCAACATTCGCGATGCTTTCGGGAGTTGTCCAGCGATTGCTCCCAAGACTGCAGCACACAGTTTGTGTTCCAGTACGCAAATTCGCGGGGTATGCCGCATAAACTGATGGCCTGTGCGCTGCCCCCTAGCTGTGGTTGAGACCGTCTCCACGTTTAGGGCGGTGTGGCTTCGCAGGCCGTCCAGAAGTCGAAGCCGGGGATCGACTCAGAGGTTGCCGAGCTGATCCGACAGCCGCGTGACCAAGAGAAAGACATGAAGTGCAATTGGGCTGTCCTTGACTTGTGTGTAGGCTTTGCTCCAGCTGGGGTTCTAAAGGCTAGTCACAGCGCTGCGCTGGCCCGTGGTGCTCCGCGAGCGCCTCGCAGACGCGGAGGCCACAGTGTCGCGTGGCTGGAGAGGACAGCGGTCAAGGAGTCTGATGTCGCCGATGTCGCCGGGTCGGCGGACATTGTCTGGCATCCGAGGAAAGAACAGGAGGAGATCCAAGAGCAAGCCCTTCGCGAAATCGTCGACCTGCAGAAGAAGTGTGGCTGAGATGCATCTTACAACGTTACAAGGATTCCCAACCAGGTGTGGCTCGCTTTTCAACTTGGCTTTCGTAGGCTTTCATCGTCTGGCAGTCTTACTGCCTACCAGGTGACACACTGGAGTCCGAGTCGCAAGAGCACCAGGAGGCACTTAAGCGCGCCCAAGAGCAGAAGGTGGGGCTGCGGGCGGTGGCTGTGATTTTGATGTACCTGTAGTCAGGCACCGCCCCCGCGGCAGCTGTTTGGGTCACTAATCTTTCTGCTGGACAGAGCTAGGGATGGTTGAGTGATGCGCATCGCATGACCTGCCTTTTGTCATGTGGGCAATGCACTGTACCGATCCGAGATCTTCAAAGTAGTTTTGCTGCCTTCGGTCGTCCAGGCGCTCACGGATGTGGAGCATGAGCAGGACTTTTGCCTTCGGCTTTCCGAGCAGCTAAGCAAGCACATGTAGACTGAGCGCATGGATGCATGCAGTCTCCGCAAGACGGCACCCATGAGATCCGAGCTCCGCGAAGTGCCAGGAGCTGCAGAGGCTCAAGGAAAGGGAAGAGGAGGCAGAGAAAAAGCGCCATGAAGCCGAGGCCTGGGCCCTGGGCGCCTTTCCACAGAGCAGCTGCTTCCCCTGCCAGCGAAGCAGGAGAAGGCCCAGGAACTCCGCGAGCTGCTCGACTACGCGGACCAGGCAGCTGAGGAGGCCCAACCTGCACAGGTTATGTCCCTGCAAGTCGCTCGCTTCTCGCAGTGAAGGCCATCCGGCGCAAGCGCGAAGAGCTTGAGCAGGCTCACGCCGAGGAGATGTCCGTGATCTGAGCATTGCCTTTAAGCTTTTGGGCTTGCAATCTGTGCCTTCATTGCATAACCCGGCTTGGTAGGAATTGTCCCAACTCCGGCAGCTGACGGAAGTGGCAGATGCCCAGCAAAAAGAAGCACACGACAAGGTCGGACATCGGCCTTCTCGCCGTCGCTTGACCAGAAAGTCAGCACAGTTGCCGACATGCTTTTCAGGCCGTGGAGCTGCATCAAAAGCTCCAAGCGGCAGAGGCGGCCATCGATGCGAAAGCAGAGAAGGAGAAGGTGCGGAAGCAGAAGACGTCTTAGAGTCTTAGAGAGAACTTCTGCAGTGCAGCGAGGAGCGGCTCAGCGCCCAGCACGACGAGGATTGCAGTAATGCCCTCGCGCTGTCAGTGATAGGAAAGCGTACTGGAAAGGGGTGACAAGTTGACAAGATTTTGTGAGGAAGCAAGAGCAAGAAGCCGATCACATCCCGTCGTTTGTGCATAGTGGCTTGTGAGCTGCGCAGAGCTGTCCACGGCAGGAGATCGCCGGCCTGAAGCTGCAGATCGCCAGCGCAGAGCAGCAGCGCGACCGAGCCCGAGAGCAAGCTTTGAACCTGAACCAGCAGCTGGAGGCGAGGCCCCGCCAAAGCTAAACGGGAAACGACTTGGCGAGTCTCGCGGAGGACTCGCAGGTGCAGACCGACGAGCTTGCACAGCTGCGCGAGGCGCGAGCGGATGCGAGCGGGGAGCCAGGGGCGGCATCGGAGAGCACGGCCCAAGCCCGGCAGCGCCCAGGCCTTGGAGGAGGCGCAGAGGACGTCGGCCTTTGACAAGGACGCGCTGCAGCAGCGCGAGCAGCAGGACAGAACCGCCTACCTGTGCCTGCCACACACACAAGTGCAAGAGAGACGGAAAGAGAGAGAGAGAGAGAGCCTATGCCCAGGAGAGAGAGAGAGAGAGAGTGTGTGTGTGTGTCTCACACCGACTGCAAAGACACAGGACAAGTGGCGTAGCGCTAGCGCGCAGGGGGGCTGGGGTTTTCCCCACACCCTCCAAACGCCGTGCAAGCAAGCAAGCAAGCAAGAGAGTGTGTGTGTGTGTGTGTGTGTGCGAACCATGGGGGTAGGCCTTCGGGCCAGGAGTGCATGCGCTCCACACCCCTAGCAAGCAAGCAAGAGAGAGAGAGAGAGAGAGAGAGAGAGTGTGTGAGCTCAGACCAGTGCGCGCACGCACGCGGCGGGGAGGCGGGGGGGCGGGTAGGAGACTGCCCTCTCTTGGCTGTGGTGAAGAAAAGTGTGTGTGTGTGTCAGAACTTCCTTATAGCACATGGGAAAACAGGGTCACTCCTACATTGGTCTACGTTTTCGCACTGCAGGGAGCACAGGCCCATGGTGGTGCCTGTGCCAACGTTTCTAGCCACCATGAGGGAAGCGAAGACTGATCACCTCCGTGTACCTGCGTGAATACTTGTGACATCGTCAGCGCTGTTGTTTCTTGAGCAGCTTGCAGCAGCCGTGGCTTGTGTGAATCAACGAACAACAACGCGGCACATAGGGTCCCGGAGAGCTGGTAAACAGCGGCTTTCCGTCATGGCGCTGTGGTGGCCCTGTAGCTGGCCAGGAGCCAGATATCAGAATGATTCTTTGGGCTGATGGGCTGACACTCCCAGGCACCTATTCTATACCGGCTATCCGGAGTTAATACGGGCAACGGCATGTGCGGGGACGTCTGACATAAAGGCATGTGCAGTAACGGTGCGTCTTGCGCAAGTGCAGGTGCGCAGGATTACCTGCACGATTGTGTTACTACTTTATCGCTTCTTTTCTCCGGGCGTGCAAGTGCATGTGAGTCTGACATGAGTGCAGGTGCAATAACGTGTGTCTAGCTTCGGCACCGCGTCTTTCGTCTCTTCCCAAACGGACCAACAGCGGTCCAGCTGCCTTGCTTACACCGGACATTGCTCGCTTGTTTGATTGCTGCGGTGGCGGCCACCTGACATGTACCCTGGGTACCAGCTTGCTCAGCAGATGCAGCTGATGCCAACCTACGAGCAGAGTGGCCACACATTGCCACAAATGCAGCCAACAACTCCGCTGCAATCTCAGCATCCACTTATGCAGCCGGATCCGAGCAACAGCTTGCTACCACAACCCGGCATCAGCGCAATGCCACAATTGCAACAGCACCCCCAAATACAAGCTCCATACCCATGTACGCTCATGAGCGCCAGCAATGTGCTGATGGCACCGCCACCACAGCAGCTTCAAACTGTAGGGCATGCAGCCATGTGATCTGCTCCTTGCAATCACGCAAATCGATAGTATGGGATGCCGACACAGCCACAAACACCGAGGATCACAATTTCACAGCCACAGCCAGCATCAGAACCGGTCCTGGTTGATGACATTATCAGATTAATGCATCATGCGCAGTCAACCCAAGCAACTCAATATACTCTGCACACCGGACAAACTGCACCGCACTCACAGCTGGTACCACAATCACCTGTGACACCAGCTCCCACTGGACCACCACCGACCCATACTACACCAGTCCACAACCACCACAACCAACGACCACTGTACCACCACCAACCGACATGGCACCACCACAGACACCACAGAAGCCACCACACCAGCAGAAGACGTCGATACCAACAGGTCAGATGCCGCAGCCGCAGCCCATCGATCAGCTCATCCAGCGGACTGCCAGGCCGGCACCACAGACCATCAGCACCATGGCAGAAAGCGATTCGCATCCCCACCACCACGCCGCCACCACCACCAACACAGTCCCACAACAGCTATACTATACCAGACGATCACAGCACCAAGTTCGCCACGCCGCTAACCAGGCCACGATGCAAGGGAAAACTCCCGCACAGGAACGCGAGTCAAAACGAAACTCTTCTTCCGAAAAGCAGCAGGCTCGACAAGATCGACAAGCATCACGGTCCAAGGACAAACGGACAGACCGACGGCCACCCCAGACCCTCGTCACACCCTACGCTGAGATCAGACAATCAGACCACACGCGGTTGATATTGTCGAGAGCAACAAGCTGGTGCAGACAATCATTGACACTGCTGACAACACAAGCATAAAGATCAATGATATATCTGACCTCGCAGAGTTCATATGTGCTTCTGGCACAGGCAAGGCATGTCTAGAGCTCCGCGCCACTGTTTTTGGACATTTCAGACGGAGTGCACACTTTCTTGTATGTGCCTTGGAAGGGTGAGGCACGCATCCCGTTTGGATATTCAGCATCCACACCACCGGGACCTACATGGAACTATGTCTGTTGCCATGGCACAGACATGCAATCGGCATTTGGCATTTTGTTGGAGGATCTGGTCCGACCTACGAGCATCCAACATACATTTTCAGCAGGCAACACTGAAATTCCAGCGACAGTCATCTTCGGATCATACACACCCGGCGAACTCAATGAAACCACGCTTCATATTGTGGCAGACAACGCCACACGCCGCAGCAAGGGACGAGAGGGCGTGATGATCTTCGGAGTGATTAAGTCTCTCTTTCGGCACTACAAGATTGACTATCGAGATTCGTGGTGTGAAGCCCTCATCACGGTTCAAAAGGCATTGTACGCAGCCGAGAAAGAAGGGGATGGCATGCCGGGCACTTTTCTATCACAGGTTTTGGAATGGTTGCGTAAGACCAATTCGACACATTTGTTACGCTAAGTCATTGACATCATGATGACTCATGGGCTGCATCTTCCACCACAACCTGCTACCCTGTAGCGACGTCTCGGCGCAGCAAGCACATTTTGGGCCGGGAAAAACAGTCTCAACATGCAGCGGCCGACTTGACGATGTCGGTACCGTGTTGCTTGCAGATGTCGTATGCTTTTCATTCACCATGTTGCTGAGATTTCCATTGTGTACCGTGTGTGATTTCGGCTCTGATGTAGCATTTACCAATTACTACGTAGACCCGAGAAACAACACAACGGATAGCAATGACCCAGCCAGGTCAGCCACCACACAACAGGTGGAACATGACTTCACCCAGAGGCATGATGGGTACGGCCATCAACGGCATGCACCAACATTCGGCGCCACCACCACCGCCGCCGCCACCACCACCGCCACCACCACCACCACCACCACCACCGCCACCGCCACCGCCACCGCCGCCGCCACCGCCACCGCCACCGCCACCGCCACAGACACCACCAACCCAACCTCACACTATGCTGTCCCCCGTCCACCGGCACACCACCAGGCACCTGTAACATTCCCACCGTCTCCACCCATTCTCCCCCCACCAACAAACAACATCAACTCAACCCGCGCAATCACCACCAACGATACGACAACATAACCCAACTTACCATCCACGCGAAGCAGTTCCACAATCCCACATGACTTTGTCCAGACCACAGACCCATGGGACAATCGCCAACTTGTTGGCGTCACTCTACCCTGTTACATACAATCCACCCCATATAGCATCCAAAACAAAACGGCAGGAATGGCTATAGCCACAGCGCTACTTGCGGCCCTCTTGCGTCACGGATGGTCTTCTTGCTGGCTCCGTTACGCTGCCCACGGCAACGACCTACACATCACATGCAGTAAGTACACGAATGAGGCGGTAAATGTTACCGAGCTGCTAGCCATGTTACCTCACAAGCACATTGATCTAGATCGAGTTGCATCAGCATACTGCTGGGAGCAACACCCGCTATGACACAGCTCGTCAAGGAACTTGTCAGCTACATGCAGTGTGTAAAGACAATTACAACGGTGCATCGACCGCACCACAAACCACACAGCCAAAGGCATCTTCTGTCGCTGAGCGTAGCACCACACGTTGCACATATTTGCACGTGCAAAACCGCATCACCAACCAACAACATCAAGCAACCACGCAGCAAGCGAGAGGGCGGCAGACAGCAAACCCCTCGTCAGAATCCAACCCACCATGTGGATCAACTGACGTCCATGCAACTCACCGCATCAGTGACTTTAGAGGCTAGGTTAGCAAATGCACAAGACACTATACAGCAACTCCAAGACGGACAGGCGGAAACAACCAGCTGCAAACCCAAGCCACCGGCCACTAAGCAGACTCCCAGCTGGGCACCGCCCCACCGCCTTCCCTCCGACAGCACCGACTCAACCGATCGTCAACCTTGACACCACACCCGGCCCGAAGCACATCCACCCAAGCTCTAAGAAGCAGCGGCAATCCACCCTCACGTCAGGCACCACAAACGATGCAGCAGCCAAAGATCCTGACCCACAGCAAATCCTGCAACCAAGCTGTTGGTTCCAGAATAACTCTTCTGGAGTCTACACCGAAACTGGAATAAAGGGATTTCAGACAAGCAGCGACGACAATGCAAGCAATTCCTCGACGCCACAGCCGCTCACTACATAACAGGAAAATAAATAGCTTACATGCAGCGGCAATCGCTTGGGGCATTCCTTACAGAATCACCGAAAAATTCAGCAACCCCGCCCCGATCAAATTGGTTGCCATCATCTTTCAGATCACCGAGTGACTACTACAGAGAGCCACAGGCTCTGGCGCACACCAGTGCGCACGTGACTTCCGCTCTGACACGCAGAGCCTAGACCAACGCAGAGCGATTCTCCGCATCGTTTCACCACATGCAGAACAACTGTCGCATGACATTTCTCAAGTAATGTTATGGCTGCAAGGCCTATAGCCCTTTTGCTCAAAGTTTTCCACCGGCCAGTACACCAACCTGCGCGGAATTTTCCAGCATTCCAACATTTTACCTCGCACATACAGCTTGGCTCATTTCAGAATATGCACCAGGTGCAATTTACACCGGAGTCACCCTGATTCCAAGATTCCAGAAATTTGTCTACATGGACATCAGCCACACCACGATGACACGACGAGAAAGCACACACAATCGCACATACAAGCAACTGACTCAGCACAAAATCGTGCAAGCAGAACTTTCCTTGCGATGGTGGCACAAACAAACACCGATGCTACCACGACTGCATTCCCATCATTCTCCACACCGACACCACCGCATCACAATTGGAGGCCACAGAAAACAGTCAAAACTCATCTGCAATCACATGAAGGGAGCTGTCTCCGGTTTCAACAAAGCTGCCAACAACAAGCGCAGTGGCTCCAGCACACTTTGGACTTGGAGGACCAAACTCAGACGAGGCCACTTGCCCACTACAGCCAGGGGTCAACAGAACGCCTCCTTTCAGAGCCCGCAAGCGAGCTTGGCAGACAGTATCCCAACTATGTTCCAACAAACGTATCTGCTTCGACACTACAAAACAGCTTCTACGAACGGAGACACCTGTTAGCACTGTTTACGCCTTACACAAGCTTGCAAGCAATTTGCCGCGCAGAGACAAGCGTATTGCGCGCAAAGCACTCGGCCAGAAGGGCAGGGTCTTCAAGGAAAGAAGGCTAAGACCAAAGCCCAACAAATCGATCTTTGTACAGCCGATGATGTACCCTTCCTTTTCCACAGATCTTCGACGTTTCCTACAGGAACGACTTACCAAGCACAAGCTACACATGCTGCCACTCCATGTACCTTGTACAAAACTGGTGTACAAGAAACACCCATCACTCCAGAAGATACTCCACAACTGAAGAGCAGCACACAATGCCGGGACACCCGCACACCACCCGCCTGCACATGCCAAGCAGTCAAACCGCAAGTCGCACCACAGCATATACATCACGAACATGTTGCCATCCAATTGGCAGAACTATACCCCAGCCAGCCATTCCATTCCTTGCCTATTGGGGCTAAAGCAACATCCTGCCCAAAGATGGGCAAAAAGCTGCAAAGCTCACGCGATCTTTACAAGCCTGGCACAAACACTACCACCTACCAGTGTCGGACACTGAACACATGCAGTTTGTTTTAACACAACTGCAAAAGCACAAGCAACACAGCAAACATCACATTGTCACAATGACATTCACGCTGTCAAGCAAGTACAATCAAAACTCCGTCCCGGCATCATACGTTGTGAAGACCATTTCCCAAACCGACTGATGTGGTACTGCCCCACAGTTTTAAACCACCAAACCATCAGAGACACAGTTACAGATCCAGATGTCTTTACCATGTCTAGATCGCCACCATTAGTCTCGGCCCAAGCAAGAACTCCACGAGTTCGAGACTGGAAACTGCCCGGGGAGGGGGGGCAGGCTAACATTGCTTGCTTGTGAGCGCCATGCCATGGCGTCCTTCTATGGTTGCTCCGTGCAGGGTTTGGATGTGAGGCGGCTGCGGCCGCCAGGTTCGGCTCTCTGGTTTCTTCCAGAATGGGTACGTCCTTTCTATTCACCTCCTTGGATGGAAAGAAGAGCCATGTTTTTCATGGCTTCGTGTCCGAAAGATGACGACGGCTTGATCCCTGCTGCTGGCTCGATCTGGTGGCACTGGCATTGGGCTGCTGAGGGTTTCCACTTGGTGGACCGCCTTCGGGTAAGAGGCTGGTACCCGGCTGGGCTGCATCGTGCGAGGTGGACCCACACTGGCTCACCACCAGTGGACGGGGGTGGCAGCCGGTGCAGTTTGCGGGCCGAATCCGGCTCTCAGGTCGTTGGAGCCTCATGTAGCTTGGTGTCTGGGCTCCCGGCACATTGATCAAGCAACTTCGAGGCGCACCCACCCCATATAGTCCAGCACTATGCAAAATGCTGGTGGCAGTTGAGGAACAATGTTGGCATCACGCATATGGACAGCTCATCTTCAACCACAAGCACTTTCCCAGGCATTCCCACACACAATACTCACTGTTCTTCGCCACCAGATACGTTGACAAGCGTGTTCTATTGCTCCACCATTTCGGCAGCTCCCAGATCCAAGCTTTTACCGGCCTAAAAACTGAACCGGCCAACGTTTTCCTGGGCCTTGCCGTGGATCCACACAACCATAGCCTCATGCACCACAACAACGTCACGTTATACACCCACGATCAGCCACCACAAAACAACTTCTGCGTAGCATCTACCAAGCACGCACACGCCTCATACAACGAGTCTGTGCACCTAGCCGAGCACATGAAGCCGTGCGAGCCATGCGCCAACTCTGTGAGAGGGCCGGCTACACAGACCAGTCTGTACCTGCGTGAATAATGTATTGTGACATCGTGAACGTAACAATGCAGCTAGAATACGCGCTGTGCGTTGATTATGTTCGCTGTTGTTTCTTGAACAACTTGCAGCAGCCGTGGCTTGTGTGAAACAACGAACAACAACTCCGCCTCACCCCTCTTCTCTGCTTGCCTCTTGCTCTTGCCGAAATCCCACAAGTGTGTGTAATGCGCATTTTTTGTACTAGCGGCATGTCGGCAACAGAGAGCTTGGTGCGATTGTCATAATCTCGGTGTTAGGCGCGGACTTCTGGACTGCTCGCGTCCTGTGGCGCCAGGAGCGATCCTACCTGGAAGAGCTTGAACAGCGACTCGGTTCTCGGTTATTTCTGTGTTTCTACCTCCACTGCCACTGAGCAAGTCTGTCGAGAACCGCAGGGTCTTCAATTTCCTTTAACACAAAGAAGCCAGGCTTAACCTACACCCCGCAAGTGGCAGCGCTTGAGTTTTGCGAAGATGTGAAGCCCTTCTAACAGCTTGTTATTAATATTTCTTGAGGATGATCTTGATGGGCTTGTCGGGTGACTTGGAATGCCGCATTGTGCCGCGGGCTTGCAGATGCCCTCCTCATCGGCCCATCGCGAGACTTAAGTTTTAAGTTAAGTGTGCAGGAAGTGGTCGCCGCGAGGTGCGTCAGACAAGCATCGTGGGTGGCGGTGCATGTTAGGACTAGAGACCTTGGTTGGGCCAAGAGGCCTTAAGCTCAACCCGCTTCTCGGTGGTGCACGGGGGGCTCCCTTGCTGGTAGGCGGGCAGAAGTAGCGCGGTTGCCAGTTTCAGGCCACTCCAGCTGCAAGTGTAGACTTAGCAAGCCTGCAGAAGGACATCCGCATCAACAGCCCATTTCCGTGCCATCGACGTCGTTCAAGACTCACAAAAACGGCAATGGCCAGAGCTTTTGCCGCCTTCTCCCGGTCCTCGTTCCCCGAGTGCGGCACTGCGAACTCCAGAGGCTCAAGTTTCCGCAATGGGCACCCACAGCACAAGCGATGCAAAATTCAGAAGAGGCAAGGCTGCCTTTCACGTTGCGGCCAGCCTGCGGTGGCAGGAATGTATACTGACATGTCCTGGCATTTGGGTTTCAAGCCGCACGGTGTCTTAGAACGTAGTTGGGTTCCCAGAGTCAACTTGAGGGGATTATTTCCAGTTCCGATACCGAAAAACTCCGATCATCTCGAGGGAGTAGCAGGCTACCATGACTATGAGGTAGTGTCAGTGCAAGATTTGAAGCGCAGAAAGCCCCACTTGATGTGGCTACATTCCTCTTGGCTGCTTCTTGTCATTGTCGCAATGGAGCTAGAGGCTGAAGCGCAACCGCGAAGCCACCGACAAGCGCCGGGCAGAGGCAGAGGGTCACCTGTTGCCCGGAGGCTTTGGCAATTTTTTTGGGGGACAGTTTTGGTAGCATATGCTAGGATCAAGACTCATCTCCTGCTGGTCGCTTTGTCTTTTGCATCTGTTCGTGTCGTGGGAAAAGCCTTCAGGCTTTAGGGCTGATGCCTCGAATGCTGCTTCACATGTAGTGCACTGTGCTCGCGTGGCAGCGAAGGAGCGAGCTGCGAGAGATGTTGGCTTCGGCCCAGAAGCGAAGCGACGAGGCTGGGGAAACGCAGAAGGAGCAGGCAACGCGGCACGCCATGGAGGCAGGGAGTGGATTCATGATCGACTGGGTTGTAAGGGGACATCGTGTAGGTGATTTCAAGTGATGTGGACAGCTCGAGATCCAAGTCAAACATTTCAGCTGTTCGCGAACAGACCAGGTTCGGGGCTTGCAAACGCGTTGCGAGACGGCGGAGGTTCAGGAGCAATGGCCGGTTGCACCTGCCTGCATGTGCGGCGACGCTGCCTTCCACGGCAGGAGCAGCTGGCTGAAGCCAAGGCCCAGAAGCTCAAGGACTGCCAGCCTGCACTCAACATGCACCACACGACTCTGCTCGGTCGTGGAAGGAGAGGTTGGTGACCGAGCTCCAGGCTGCAGACGAAGCAGGGAGCAAGCAGCTCCTTGGGACTCTCTTAGGGAGACTTTGTTGTGTAGCCGGATAGCCCGTCGCAACTTCTAAAGCACATATACGGCATATACGTCCGAGTTTTGAGCGCCGGATGGGTGCCAACTGTTTCGAATTCTGGGTAAGATAGACTGAGGCAGACAGGCAGTCGAGCTTTCCGACGCGCGTGATCGTAGATTCGCAAATACCCGTCGGCTCATCTGTGTTTGAGCTGATGGTTCATGCAGTTTTCATGCAAGGCAAAAGCAACTGGAGAAAGAGCGAGAGAAGGAGCTGGAGGTGCCCGGCAGTAATCCTTCACGGTTGGACAGCTCCGGAGTTTGCTGCGTTCTTCGACATGTGCGATCTCGGAGGACGTCCGCCAGCAACAACGTGAGGCGCGTGTTGGATGTCGAGCCTGGTAAATCCTCTCAGCATCGGTGGCTGTTCTGTGATACTTGGGTCCATCTGGGTCCCATTTGTTCCGGTGGCGGAGGCGGAAACAGACCGGAAGGCCGCCGATGCGCGGGCAGAGGTATCTTAGTTTGAAGTGTGACCCTGAAGCTCCAGCGAGATGTGCCCCCGCACAAAGCAGCGGAAAGACAGGAGTTGAAAAAGAAGCTCGAGGAGGCGGAGCTGCGGGCATTTGAGGCCTCACGATTGCTTTTTTTGATTGAGGCTGCTTGTGGTCCCTCTATACTATTGAAGACTTTCCACCTCAGTAGCTTGACCTGACTGACTGCATGGCGCGATGAGGTAGCCTGCATGATCCAACACCTTGTAGTCCGCCCATTCCTGCCGACGTGTAGCGTTTATCCAAGCCGGCGCCAGTTGACATACCGGAATGCCTTGCTAAGCAAAATTGCCGATGCGAGCAGAAGGCAGCACACCACCAGAAGGCCAATGTGGATGCTGCCAAAGAGGAGGAATCCCCAGTCAAGGTCTTTCAGACTGAGCCCGTGGGATTGCTCCTGAACTGTTCACCACGACACGAAAAACCGAAAAAACTCCAACCATCATGTCTTTGAAAGGAGATATGCAAGCTACGACAACAAATGGAGACTGCGGAGGAGAAGGCAGCAAAGCTCGGTCATGATCGACCCAAGAGAGGGACCACTGTTTCGAGCACTGAGTCGTGTAAGTTTGAGGCCGCAGGTTTCGTTCCGGCTTTCGTGCTCTGTCTGGGCCGGTGTCTGTAGCAGGGCTACCAGGTTTACAGCACACCCCATCCAGATTTGTGCTGGCTTGCAACTTCTGGCCTAGCCTCCGACATGTTGCGAGTTTTGAGAATGTGTGGCAACACCCTTGAGCCTCGAGGCGGACAAGACGGAGGCCCAGGCCAGCCAACTCCGGGAGAAGCTTGCTATGGCGGAGGTGTCGTTAAGCGAGGCCGGACCGGAAACGTTTGATTCGATAAACTTTTGACATGCCCGTCAGGAAAAGGAGGAGACAAGGTCGATAGGTACATATATCATAGCATCACAAGACACCCCCCCACCGAAGAACCCCCAGATTACAAAGAAGACCTCGTCAGTCATGGTTTTCAATTAAAGTCAGCAGGGAGCTTAGTTTAAAGTATTAGCATCAAACAAGCCGTGTTAGAAGCTAATAAAAGCTATTAACACTTAATCGTGTTTATTTGTCGTGCGTGTTGCTTGAGGCTCCAAAACTCCCTTATTGAAGCTTAGTAGCGGCATAACATGTTTGTATATGCTTCACAGCTTCAAGCCCCAAAGCTATGCGCTGCCGGGTGCGTTTTTATTCTACGTGCCTTCAAGGACACGGTTTTCCCACCCCGTAATGCAGTGCACGGCCGTCTGCGCTGCCGGAGCGCACCCTGGAAACAGAACTACGCCCTGCACAGCTACACTCATGAGCTACCATGCTTCTGTGTCTTCCAAAGTCGTCAGCGAAAGCCACTTCTCCCAGCTACAGAAGAAATGACTTTGCCAGCCACGTCGCTATCGTCTAGGTGCACATACCGAGAAGCAGTGATCTCAGTGCTTAACCCGCCGGCTTTATTCAGCCGTGCGAGCTTGGTCAAGAACGACGTGCCATGAAATAGAATTGCATCAAGCACAGAACTCGCATAGATTATGGAACAGTTCAAACTCCACATACAAGCTTGTATCTTGGAAGTCCCCGCCGTTATTCTCATGATAAAAGCAGCTGTAGAAACTGCGATTGCCGCAAAACACGGCCTTAGGAATTGCTGCTACGACGACAACGACTACTACTATTGCTGCTGGTGCTGCTACTGCTACGACGACGACGACGACTACTGCTACGACGACGACGACGACGACTACCACTACCACTACCACTACCACTACCACTACCGCCACTACCACTACCACTACCACTACCACTACCGCCACTACTACTACTACTACTACTACTACTACCACTACTACTACTACTACTACGACGACGACTACTACTACTTCTACTTCTTCTNNGCTACTGCTACTGCTTCTACTACTACGACGACGACGACGACTACTACTACCACCACCACCACCACAACCACAACCACCGCAACCACCAAAACCGCAACGACCACCAACCACAGCCACTACCACCACCACAATCGCACGCAATCAGCACACAATCCCTCCACGACCCCAGCCCCAGCCGCAGCACAACCAGCACAACCATCAGTCTATCATCATCCTTGCTATCATGGTCGGTGTCGTCGTCTTCGTCACCACCGTCCAGAACAGCATCTACATTAGCATGCGCATCAACCCCCTTTTGTTGTGAATGTGTCATCCTCCGTCCCTTCAATGAACTGATTCTGCTTATGCGCGCCCTGTTTGTTGGGATGCTGCGTGGCCTGTCGTGGCTTGAGGAAACCCCTCCTCGCACAAGCCTGCCTTGACTATCTGCGAGGAGGCACAACGGCGAATCGACCTGATTGAGCAAGAGCGCTTGCGCAGTTCCCTGCTCACAGAAGCCGTGGAGCATTGCAGCGTGCTTCAGTGTTAACATAAATTCTGCAACAAAGAAAAGAAGCCCCAGGTTTGGGAACCGAAGCAAACGGGAAGAAGGTGGGGGACGCTGTTGTGCTCTCATTCTCCTCGTCACCACTCCATTCTTGTGCTTGGAGACGGTGGACGATGCGGCCACTCGCTGGAAGACCACGGCGGACCAGGCTCCTTCGACAAAACTCAGTTGACCGAGTCCCAAAAGTGCAGGAGACCTAGAAAAGAGCCCTTAGCAGAGCCGCTTCCCGAGGCCAGTGAGCGCCTCGCGCATCGCGACTTTCAGTCTGACTTTGGCGATAAGGACTTTGCAGTTTGGCCAGCTCTGGGCCCGTTGTTCGGGAGCTGCATGCAACCCTTTGCTTTAACAAGCCGAAGCCAAGAGCGCAGGCAATGGGAAGCAGGTTCCAAAAAATCAAAGTCGCCTGGCACGCGCAGGATCGCGAGATCGACAAACGCTTGCAAAGTGCGCAGAAGTTTTTGCAGAAGAGCGCCGAGGCTTTGGCTTTTCTTGTGCTTCGGTATCTCTGTCTCATGGCTAGCACTTCGCATCTAACTCAAGGTTCCTGCGGGAGAGGGCAGCAATGCGGCCGCTGCAGCCGAAAAGCCCTCGCCTCAGCCCTGCCCCAGCACCGGCAAGCTGAACATGGACGTACGTTGACAGCAATGAAGGGCCTCGGACCAAGAGGCTTTTGGCAAACCAGTGGGGGATCGGGCTGGAGCTGCGATGCTACCAAATAATGTGAAGAGGGCAAACCAAAAGCCTTTCGTCAGAGCTGTCCGAGGCCTTCAAAGGTAGCCGGGCGCCGGGGGAAGAAAGGCAGCCGAGGATGAGAGTTCAGTTCTGATAGAGCTCAGAGCCTCCAAGGCTGTGGAACATGCGAAGCTCAGCAGGGCCATGAATCTTCTACGTTCCGGGGTTTGCAGCTGCAAAAACCAGTGGCCGATACAGCTTCATGTAGACGTTTATGTTAGCCTGCTTCGGTCCATGGCCGAAGATGCGTCCTGCTGGAGCTTCGTGGGGGTAGGCCAACATGCGAGTTACTCGCACTGGGTTTGCTGGCCACTGCGGCTCCTCTCGGCCACTCTACCTGGAAAGCTGCGCTTGTTTCATTTTTAAGTCTGGGCAGCCTATCATAATGAGGTAGATTGCTTCCCGTCGAATGCTTGTGTGAAGCACCGGGCTCGCCGAGTGAGCTGCGGTCAAGGGATGTGAAGGGTGTCACCTCGAAGACAGTTTGAAGCAGCCACAAGCATGCTGCGATTTCTGGATGGGATGTCAACCTAGGAGCCCGTCCCTCGAGCTCCTCCATAGTAGGTCCTTTTTCCTCATTTGACAATCGTTTGTCTTGGGCTTCCTGTCCAACAATCCAGGGCCTTGATCTTTCCCATTGTATCGCACATGCAACGCATCAAGCCAGCTCTTTGGTGCCCTCAACTGCCGGAATGCGGAAAAGTGCACACATTCATTGTCACGGCCCCGTCTTCACATCATGTGCGCGACTGTAGCCAAGGATTCCCTGCTAGCGGAGCCCTGCTTTTTTTTTTTCTCTCTCTCTC